TTGTGTGCTGAATAGGTGATATAGTTACATTAAGAACAGTGAACTTAAATGAACAGGAGCTGAACAAATGTCAGGGAAAAAAGAAGATGTCCAGGACACTCTGGCTTGATACTTAAAAAAGATAAAATAAAAAGCCTGTAACTTACTAAACAAGGTGGCATGGTTTCAATCCATTTATCTGAAGTACTTCCTTTCCTCCACTCTAAATAGTATCTAAATCCGATCCCTGCATCTAATGCCAGTTGCTTATATACAGGGGCGGCTCTATGTTTTTTGTCTCCCCAAGCACGGCAGTCAGGCGGGCTTCGGTGGCATCCCTGTGGGCGGTCCACGGTCACACGGATTTGGCGGCGTTTCTGCGGGTGGTCTGCCGGTCCCATGGTTTCGGCGTACTTGCCGCCGAATTGCTGCTGAAACCGCGGGACCGGCGGACCTCCCGCAGGCACGCCGCCGAAGGCTGCCTGACCGCCGCCCTTACAGCGACCGACATGCCGCCCCCCCACGGCTTGCCACCTCAGGCACGTGCTTGCTGCGCTAGTGCCTGGAGCCGCCTTTGCTTATATAACCTGTATCAGTATGCCTACACACCCACAATGGTAAGCCTCCCAGTCTGTGTAGACACACTCACGCTAGCACGCTGAAAAGAGCGGTATAGACAGCATTTTGAAGTTGTGGCTCAGACTTCACTGCCCAAGCTCTAGCTGAGGGAGTGGGTGGCTCCAGAGTCCAAGCTGCAATTTCAAAGCGCTGTCTATACAGCTATTTTTAGTGTGATAGTGCAAGCCTGAGTCTGTCAACCCAGGCTGGGCAGCTTGCTGCAGCAGGCTGCGTATGTACACGTGCGCGCACACGCACACACACACGCACACACACACACACTCACCAACTTTCTGTATTACACATCCAAAAAACGTGTATACGGCTTCCCCAGAAGGTATAACCCATTCTATTATAAGAAAATGTTTTTCAGATATCCACCGTTAAAGTTTTTTGATTCCAACTCATCCCTGTGTAAAGTAGCAATTAAAGTTAACCTAAAAAGTGAAGGAAAACGCATTGAGTCGTGATGGGTGAAATCCTCACCACATTGAAGTTAATGGCGGTTTTGCCACTGACTCCATTGAAGCCAGGATTATATATTTTACACACACACACCTCTCACTGTCTCTCGCTGTGTGTAAACCTGATTTCCAACTGGTAACTGTCCTCATCTTCTCTGTCCTCAGTCATTCCCAAACTTAAAACATTTGATCTGCTACTGCATTTTCTACTATTTTTATTAAATGCTCATCTTAAAACATCTGGGTTTCTGCACAGGAGGACAAGCATCTCTGTCCAATGGCCGCTCCTTTTGCAAATAAAAGGTTTTTGATATAATATGTTAAAATAATAAAATAATAAAAAAATAATTAACAATAAAGAAGAGAGCAGGTTAAAACTGTTTTAAAAACCAGAATCACCGAATCAGGTGGCCTTCACTGAATCTTGAATAAAACAGGGTCTCTGGCAGTCTTCTTGAGGCAGGGAGTTGTACATATGTAATCTTAAACTGAGAAAACTCTTTATTGCAATCTGATGAAGATGAAACCTCAAAATACAGCAAGGATGAAGAACTGGCTAATCCCAGCATCCACAGCAAGGCACGGGAGTACCCTGTAAATGTAGAGAACAGCAATAATGCAGTACAAGTCTTCCAACAGCATACTGACAAAGATTCACTACCCCCTAAAATTTCTGTCTCTTACCTTGTCTTGATCTGCACTCAGATTACACTGTTCAATGTTGTTCCTGAAAATTGTTGTTTGTGTTTCTAGAGTCATTCAAGTTTTGGCATTTCCCTTAGTTATAAGATGCATTTTTTTCATTTAACAGAATGGACATCTGTCACATAAAATGAATGAAATCTGAGACATAAAAACCAATGACCAAGAGCTCAGTGTTTGAAGTCACCTGGATGCCTCAACCACACAATTATTTTACAGTTATTGTTCATTTTAGCCATCCTGCTAAAATCTGTTAAGAATGAAAAATTAAGCATCATCTTAGATAAAGTCTGTGTACTATGCCAAGACCAATAAAGTGTCTGAAATTGGTAGGCCTAAGGCTTCTACTCATTGTACATGGAAATGTGTCATTGTGTGAGATGTCTGACATGAAGAAGATCTGCAGAACAAAGACAGACTAGATTTTTTTTAATCTGTTTAAGTCTCACCAGGCAGCCTCAATTATCCATTTTACAAAGACGACAATGAGACACTGTTTTATTGGGCTGCTGGCACCTCAACTTGGCATACAAATCCAAGTAAATATATATGCTTACTAAGTGCTCCTGATGCCTTTTCATGAACTGATTCATGAGATGTTGCTGGCAGCTGCATATTTTTATTATACAAAACATTCAAAACAAGACTAGAATCAAAAACCTGAGTACATACAGTAGCTAAGCAATAAATGATAAATACAACATTATCTGACACCATGACTTGACTGTCTTTTTGCATCTTGTCCAAGAGATGCCACACTTCCTCAGATTCGAAAGGTTGATTATTTCCACTCTTTATAGAGTGAGCAAGCTGAGGAACAGGGATATATTGTGAGCAAGTTGCTCTGAATGCTTTCAGAAGAGCTGCTTTAACCTCTTTACATCTAGCAAAAGTGAGAACAGTTTTAAGGGAAAAGGACAGACTTTTTAGAACACTCAAGTTCCAGAGTACTTGTTTCACAGAAAACACATCTCTAGCTATATTTCCAGACAGAGTGTTAATGATGGTGTGTATTAGGGCTTGGCTACACTGGCACTTTACAGCGCTGCAACTTTCTCACTCAGGGGTGTGAAAAAACACCCCCCTGAGCACAGCAAGTTATAGCGCTGTAAAGCGCCAGTGTAAACAGTGCCCCACCATGGTAGTATCTGGGCACCTCACAATCTCAATGTATCCTCACAACCCCTTGAGGTAGGAAAGTATTATTATCTCCATTTTATAGATGTGAAACTGAGGCAAAGAGAGATGAACAGACTAAACCATGGTCACACAGGAAGACTTTGGTAGAAGAGGATTTGAACCTTGGTCTCCCCAGTTCCAGGCTAGCACTCCAGCTATTAGGACATCCTTCATCTCTGGGCCTAATCAGATTGAGCACTAGAAATTAATGATCTACTGGATTATGTAGATTTGGATGTACAGTGCCCAGAGGTGTAACTTACTACAAAGAATGTGCCAAGAGATTTTGCAGATCTGTAGGCAATTCACCAATACATATTTCACATTAATTTTAGATACCAAGTACTTGAAAAAAGTATTAACATAATAGCAAATACAACTTGTCAAAAAAAAAGATGAAAATTTTTGAAAACTGAAAAAATTTATTAAAAAACAGAACTTCCTGCCCTGAACAATTGAAAAATGAAAATTTCTACCCAAAAATCATAATCCAAAAATTTTAATTTCTTTAGATTTTTTATGTGTGTAAAATAGTTACCATTTCCCCATCGGCTCTGTGATCAAGGCATTTCAACAACATTGTCTGAAAATGCAGCTAATATTTTTAAAGCATTTTTAGCCATTTTCTATTAGCCTTTGTTGGAGCTGAAGGCTACAGAGACCAGTCAGGCAAAACTAATAAGGGTGATTAGAGGCAATAAGCAGGGTGGATTAAAAATATATATCTGTATCTTACTGTATCTGACTTGAAATAACTTCCCTTGTCTGAAGCACCTCACTGATCAATTTGCATGTAAGTAGTCAAAAACGCCCCAGCTCTTAAAATATGTAGACAGATTTGCATGTAACAGCAGACACACAAAAAAGTCTTATGATTTTATATGGTTCAACTAGTTCTGGCTAAAAATATTTAAGAATGGAAGGTTGTAAACAATCAGCCTTTCATAATTTTAAACAAACTACAAGACGTAGGACTTCAGATATAATATTTTTTTAAGCTAGAAGCTTATCCAATTTATTCTTAAGAGGCCTGTAAATAAAAGTGCCACCTGAACTCTAACATGACTAGCTCTATCATTAGAGCGAGAAAGCTTAAGGTACATAGTACTCCACTGACCAAGGCCCCAATTCAATCTAACACTTAATCATACACTAAATTCCGCTGACTTCAAATAGCAATTGATGAAGACTGCATAAAATTAGGAGACTAAAGGTGCTTTTTTACGGGGAGGGATAACAATCAGAACACACCATTCAGAGCTCAACCAACTGTTGCGATACTATTTTTTTATACAAATAGGGTGGGGAATTAAAAACACATACCTGGGTTGGGTGATAAAGTGCAGCATTTTGGGAATGTTTTCACTGTCAACAGGAACTTGCCTTGGAGTTCTAATTTGATGGGATGAAGCTGAATTGCAATATGACCATTTCTAGTAAAATCAGTACTAAAGATATATCAAGATCCGGTCTTATATAGTCTTCTCAAAGACCTAACTCACGTTGTCTCAGAATGAAAATTTCCCTACAGAGGTTCTAGCACTGGGTCCATCACATTTAGTGAAACATTTCAACTTTTTAGATGAGCTAAAACAAATCTTGGAAGGAAGGAAGTGAACACATTTCAAGCTGTTAATTAATACTTTGTCAGTAAACACACATCAAGGTGTTACACTTAATGTACAGATCAGGCTCTATATGAGTAAACCAGACATCCCACTCAGGCTCATGAGTTTCAAAAAGGAAGAAAACAACTGGGTATATTTTATTAAGATTATTACATACTTGGCTGGGTACATAGGTGCTGGAACTAGGGGTGCTGGAGTGCTGCAGTATCCCCTGGCTTGGAATGGTTTCCATTATATACAGAGTTTGCAGTTTGGTTCAATGGCTCTCAGCACCCTTACTGTACACATTGTTCCAGCTCCCCTGGCTGGGTATGATCTTTACTGGTGAAAAAGCAGGAGTCCTGAAGTGCTTTCAGTTCATGACTTTTCTTATGTCTGAAGCTCTTCCTTCAAGAGAACATTAAAAAAAAATTAACCTGCTCCACAGAAGCTAGGGCTTTTTGTTGTTATTTGCTTTGGTTTTATCTGATGCCATATTGACTAAGCGCTTCTTGGCTTGACCCCTCATCCACGTTCTCTTCATGTACTTTTCTGTTTTTTCTGGTTCTCCAAGACCTTTAAGATCATTTAAAATTTTCTAGTCATTCCATCTAATTTCTAAACTAAAAGTTAATTGTATTAGAATACTTCCGCTTCACCTTCTTGAAGGAAGCAACCTGGACCAACTCCAATGCCATTTCAGCATCTTGAAGGTCTGTTGTCCTGCTCATTGTGGCTTTTGCATGAGCTGCTGATACAGCCAGAGCACTGATTGGGATAACTGGCATTGTCTAAATGGAAGTAAACATATACAATTCAGATAGCTATTATCTAGCACTATGTTTCAACCAAGCCCTTTCAGGGTGTACAGTTTAAGAGACTTGTACACTCATTCCAAGGGGACAATGTGCTGAAGCAAATTTCATTCTTGTGTGTGCAAAGCGAGAGATTAACATTCGGGATATGTCTACACTTGGAGTTAGAGGTGTGATCCCAGCTTGAGGAGACATACTAATGCCAGCTCACATCCAGCTAGTGTACTAAAAATAGCCAGGCACTCACAGTGGTGCAGGCAGAGGCTTGGGCTAGCCACATGAAGAACATATGCATGGGGTCCAGTCTTGACAGGTTTGTACTCTGGGCTGCTAGTCCCTCCCGCCATTGCCCATACTACTGCAGCTGCAATATTTTTTTAGCATGCTAGTTTGACGAGAGCTAGCACGAGTGTGTCTTCAGGAGCTGGGCCTCACACACCCAGCTCCAAATGTAGACATGCTCTTGGAGCCAAATTCAGGTCCATAGAAATTTTACCTGCTTACTCTAAAAGTCTCTGGGCAAAATTCAGCAGTTACATCAACAGGGGTGTAAGTGACCCAATTTTCTGAACATCCTACACACACTGTGTAAGGCAGGGATCGGCAACCTTTGGCACGTGGCCTGCCAGGATAAGCACCCTGGCGGGCTGGGCCGGTTTGTTTACCTGCCGCATCCACAGGTTCAGCTGATTACGGCTCCCACTGGCTGCGGTTCGCCACTCCAGGCCAATGGGGGTGGCGGGAAGCGGCGGCCAGTACGTCCCTCGGCCCGCGTCGCTTCCCGCCGCCAAAGGTTGCCAATCCCTGGTGTAAGGAATAATTCTTCTTTGAATAGTGTCCCTATGGGTGTGCCACTGTAGGTGTGCTTGTGTTCCTGCACTGCTGATTGGAGAATTTCAGTAACAGCATCCATTAGGCCCGCACGTGAGCTGTCTCTCCTCCTGCCCTGCCACAAGGCTAGCCAGCATGTACAGGCTAACCCCCCTCAGTTCTTTCTCAACCACCCTTGGCTGGAGATGGAGCTATTAGCAGTCCATTTGCGACCATTATTTTCGTTAACATTTCTACAGTAAATTATTCTCCCCAGTCTTTGTTGTAGTTTTCTTCTTTTACTTTCTTCCTGAACAAAAACAAACAAACAAACACCTTGCTTTCAGCTGTTCCTGTCTTGCTCTCTGATTCTTTGTGGGTTGCTCACTCACAACCCCCCACAATCCTTACCCAAACAATATTGAACAAAGCCTCTCCAGCCATTCAGTCCAAAGCTGCTGGGTGGGTTCACATACCCCTTTTGTCTTGTCTTAGGGAGGGACTTGTGATTAATTTATTCTTACAGTTATGTTAATTGAAGTGTATGTTCACACCCATCAATCTCAACAAGGTTTGTGACCCATGCAGTCTCCAGTACTTTTCAGCATAACATGTAGTTATACAGATAGTAAGGTAGCTCACTTCACCATTTTACAAGAGAGGAAACCGAGTATAAGGTCACAATAAATCACTGTCAAATCTGAGATTATGTCACTGAACACTGCGCCTCGTGTTATGGAACTGTCCGTTCTTCCTCATGAGCGGGGGGTTGCTACTTGTTCAAACAGAGTCAGCTCAACTGCAGACATCCACCTGCAAGATAGCTTGGAGCAGCCCTAGGGCCATTAGAAGCAGACCGGGAAACATTACCCTCCCACAGCCATGAACTAGGTTGAGGTCCTTTCCCTTCTTAACCCCCATCCCAGCTCCACCCCCCAAAAATAACACACACACCAAATACACCCATGGAGGGGGACCTCTGGTCACAGCTTTCATAGACACCAGAAACCAAATCTGGTTAACTGGACAGAGGTAGTGGGAATAAGATAGAGAACATATGACCTTTTAGGATGACTCAAATGACAGGATTTTAAAACTAGCAATTAGCTTGCACTTTTGAGTATTTCACAAGGCAGCAGGGTAGGAATTTACTTGTTTAAAAAACCTCTTATGTTAGCCCTGACATTCCTAGGTGCCTCACTTCAGATGAGCCTGCAACCATGGACTTCAAGGGCCCGGCTTTGGCAGCCAGCTAAAAGTCAGTTGTAGCTAAAGTTTGTAACATATATTTTAATTGCGGTGACAAATGCTTCATAGTTGACAGGTTTCAGAGTAGCAGCTGTGTTAGTCTGTATCCGCAAAAAGAACAGGAGTACTTGTGGCACCTTAGAGACTAACAAATTTATTAGCGCATAAGCTTTCGTGGGCTACAGCCCACTTCTTCGGATGCATATAGAGTGGAACATATATTGAGGAGATATATATACACACATACAGAGAGCATGAACAGGTGGGAGTTGTCTTACCAACTCTGAGAGGCCAATTAAGTAAGAGAAAAAAACTTTTGAAGTGATAATCAAGATAGCTCAGTACAGCTATTCCTGTGCAAAAAATGGGTAAAGGTAAGAAACCTCTAAAAAGAGAATATTTAAATGACTGCTATAGAATCATATACAGATACATAATTTCCAAGGCCAGAAAGGACCACTGTGACCATCTAGTCAGACTTCCTGTATAACTTAAGCCAGGAAACTTCCCCAAAATAACTCCTAGAGCAGATCTTTTAGAAAAAAACTCCCAGTCTTGAATCCATCAAGATCCTTGATAAATTGTTCCATTGCCTTCACTGTTAAAAATTTACACCTTATTTCCAGGTTGAAAAGATGATATATCTGACACATAGATCTGGCAAAGTTTAATTTAACCCTGGAAGAAGAAGAGGTGGGAGGGAGGGAGAGAGGAACTTCCAAAGCTTCAATAAGTCCTGTAAGCAACTTCAAATATCAGTAATATGTTATTTCCAGCTTCCGTGACTTGTATTTTATACTCCCCTCCACCCCAAAATAAAAGTTTTCATATGAAGACCATGAAAGATTAAACTTTGAATGTAATTTAAACCCTGAAAGCTGTTAAAAAGTTATGATTTAGACTAAATAAAAGCAAGAGCATTGACCTAGCATTTTTAATTATTCTAGGAACGGTGATCTTCTGTATTGGACCCCACGTGTTGCAAGCAGCACAAAAACGAAAGTTGAAGCACTTAAATAGATCTTTACAATGAGATACTAGTAGTTTAAGCCTTAACATTTTAAGAATCTGGTGAGAAGTCTCCTTTGCATTCTAGAATTCAGATATTTTATTTCAGCACTTCCTTTTGTCCCAGCTAGTTTCAAAATCATGCCTCAATAATTAACTACCAAAATGCTCTCCCTGGACCTAGGCTAACATGTATGGTGCTAGTGTACAAAAAATATTGCAAGCGAAGAAAGTCATGTTGATTTCAAACTCAATTTAGAAACAAGAAAGAGAATATTGACTTTAGAAACAGAAGTGTTAGAGTGTAAAGGACAGACCCTGGACTTTGTAAGAATGCTACATTTTACAGAACCAAGCTATTTTAGTACAATATTTATAAAGAACTGGAAAAAAAACAAAACAATCTTTGTCCATTGCAATAAGGCTAGAACGTTGAAGGAATGGTCATACTATTTCGACAGGTATGATAGAACCTCCCAAATTAGAGACTTTCCCTTATGATTACTAGATTCCCTAGCTCCAGAATCCTCATGGAATAATTGTCATCAATTATATATTCTTCAGAGAAATGTACCTGAATTTCCTGTTCCCTGAACATTCAATGAAGATTTTTTAAAGCCGTATTCCCATTACAACTGTTCCAAAGAATTAGTTCAATATCCATCCTAGCCTTTTTACTAACGACAGAAGTTTGATTGATATTGTATTGAGTCAAAAGGCCCTGTAGAGCCATTAAATGACTAATCTGAACATTAGTGGCTGCACACACAATGTGCTTTCATACATTGCAAGATATTTCCTTCCTGCTCTTATACAGGCCCCTTTAGACAAGAAAAGATGGGACTACTATTTTTAATTGAGTTAGTTAAAATGTTAGCAGTAAACTGTACACAAAGTATCGTTTCGATGGCACCAGTCACTGCCTATGCAAGTTCTCCGTTTTAAAAGAAAAGGGAAGCATTTTTTAAAGAGATTCTGGAAGGATTTAACACTCATTATTTCACATTAATCCATTTTTAAAGACAAGTTACCAAAATAACTTGATCAATTTGATATGTATAAGAAAGTTATCATCTCTACCAAGAGCTGTCAAGTACCATGTTGGTATCACTAAGTTAATGTAGTTTAATTATGAACACCTAAAAGAATTGGTATTTGCAAATGAAGCAGTAACTGAACTTTTACTATGCTGATACGTAACAGAAGAAGTCTAGATTCACAAACTTGATAGAGACACTGATGGACCATTCTTGAAATCAACTAGTGTTTTGCCAGAAAAAGGAGTGCAGGATTAGGCTGTACATTTATTGTCCATAATGACTCCATAAGTTATGAACATAGAACAGATGTCAAGCAAGCGGGAAAGTGTGGGACAAAATACAGACTGTAAAAATGTGCCCCAAAATAAAATACATTGATCCTAAGACAGTAACAAAGTTTTTTGTAAAAGACAAAATGATGCAAGTCATTGTACTAGTTTGGCTTTTATTTTCTTACTAATATTGCATAACAGAACAACACTAGCATGATGATGAGGAGGGGATAATAAAAATAACTCATCAATGCACTATTAACTCGACATGCTCTCACCTATTAATAAGATATTGATGTCTCCTCTAATGCGTGTCCCATTGTTGAGAACTTTCTCATTACTTCCAAGTAGCATACACAAAATGGCTTTTTTAATATACTCATGGCCATGAATGCTTGGTGCTAAAGACTTGCTTAAATGGTCAAAGATATCCTGTTTAAGAAACAGGAAACACTTACATTGCACATTATCAACATTAGAATGGAATCTCATTATCCATTAGCCTCTGTTAGTGCAATTTGTAATATACTTTAGTTTGAGCTTTGCAGAATTGCTTGATCTTTGCCACACCATCAGCTGAGAATATTGTGCTATTTCTTTGCTCATCAGTTTTGATATTATTAGCCAGAATTATTGTCCTAGATATTTTTTACCCAGATGCAAAGAAAATTACATAAATTAACTATTAAACAAATACTGGAATGAAGACAATTGTCTTCATGACACAAGAGCTGCTTAGGAAAAAAGAGGGCAAAGAATCAAATTCTTGGTTTTAAAATGGTTATTAGATTGATCCTTTTTACTATGCCTTAATGAAGGAAATCCTCCCCTAAAAAGAGGATTTAATGAAGTCTCAACATCTGAATAGCATAATTTTCCAGCATTTGGGATTTTTCTCTCCCCTCTGCCATCCTCCCACTCTCCCCACCCCAAAAATAACCTGATTAAGCCATGCTTTCCATGCTGTAGGAGATACCCAACTACAGAATGGATTTTGAGTTTTGGGAGGGGATTTCTACTTAAGGGAAATGAAAGAGAATGACAAACAGGTTTTTTGTTTTCAAAGAGGCTTGCACTTAATCACGTACAGTTGACCAGACAACTGTTTTAAGCTATGCTGCAAATCAGAAGAAATATTTTGAAAATAAGCTGCATTTCTGGACCAAAAAAGCAATGGAATACACGTTGATTTGTGGCCTCTAAGATTATCCCTCTTTTATTGGTTTTCTTTATTCTATAAACTAGTTTTGAGAAAAGAGTATGTAAGAAAGTTACTTTTAAAAAGGTGTAATGAGAAAATGCCTCCCCCCCCAAGTTATCCAAATGAAATATAAATAAAGTTATTGTTCATGCAGAGCGCAGACCTTAACTTGACTGCAAAGGGTTGGTATATTTCTGTAGAATTGTTGGAATGGAAAAAAAATTGTTTTCTGTTTCACAGTTCAGACAACTTAACAAACTGAGCACAAATTAGCTCCTACCTAAATGTGCCAGAGGTGAAGTTTCCTTTCTTGGATGGGAGGCAGTAATATATTCACATTACCTGAACTCTGTCTCCAGGTTTACATATATTCACCAGATCATCATAAGTAATAATATCCACAGAGCGAGGAAGCTGACCAGCTGGTGCTTTTTCAGGTATTCCAGAGGACTGGAAAAGGACAAATATAGTGCCCATCTATAAAAAGGGGACTAAGGACAACCCAGGGAATTACAGACCAGTCAGCTTAACTTCAGTACCCAGAAAGATAATGGAGCACATAATTAAGCAATCAATTTGCAAACTTCTAAAAGACACTCAGCAAGGATTTGTCAAGATCAAATTGCGTCAAACCAACCTGATAGCTTTCTTTGACAGGGTAGCAAGCCTTTTGGATAGGGGTAAGTGGTAGATGTGGTATATCTTGACTTTAGTAAGGCTTTTGATAGTGTTTTGCATGACCTTCTCCTAAATAAACTAGGGAAATACAATCTAGATGGAGCTACTTTAGTGTGGGTGCATAACTGGCTGGAAAACTGTTCCCAGAGAGTAGTTATCAGTGGTTCACAGTCAAGTTGGAAGAGCATATCCAGTGGGGTCTTGCAGGGATCATTTCTGGGTCCAGCTCTGTTCAATATCTTCATCAGTGATTTAGATAATGGCACAGAGAGTACACTTATAAAGATTGCAGATGATACCAAGCTGGGAGGGGTTGAAAGTGCTTTGGAGGATAGGATTAAAATTCCAAATGAGTTGGACAAATTAGAGAAATGGTCTGAAGTAAATAGGGTGAAATTCAATAAGGACCAATGCAAAGAACTGCACTTAGAAAGAAACAATCAGTTGCCTTGCTCAGCAACCCAATGGCTCTGGTCAGCACTGCTGACCAGGATGTTAAAAGTCAGGTTGGTGCCCACCTGCTCCGACACCGCACTGCGCCCCGGAAGAGGCCAGCAGTGGGCCTGGCTTCTAGGCAGGGGGGCCACGGGGCTCCGTGTGCTGCCCCTGCCCCGAGCACAGGCTCTGCACTCCCATTGGCTGGTTCCATGGCGCAGCACGGTCCGCGGTGCCAGGACAGGTGGGAAGCCTGCCTCTGCACCCCCGCTGCGCCACTGACCGGAAGCCACCCGAGGTAAGTCCACGCCTCAACCCCGCACCCAACCCCCTGCCCCAGCCCAGAGCCCCCTCCCACACCCTGAACCGCTCATTCCTCGCCCCACCTTTCAGCCCTCACCCCCGCACCTCAACTCTCTGCCCCAGCCCTGAGCCCCTCCCACACCCCAAACCCCTCATCCCCAGCTCTGTTGGGTCATGGGCATCAACAATTTTCTTCAACTGGGTCCCCAGAAAATCAGTTTGAAAACCACTGGTCTAGATCATACTTAGTCCTTCCATAAGTGTGGGGGATTGGACTAGATCAGCAGTTCTCAACCAGAGGTCTGGGGCCCCCTGCACAGCCGCGAGCAGATTTCTGGGAGTCCTCCAAAATAATTCAGAGAGCAGGTCTGAGCGTTAGACTCACTGGGGCCCATGGCAGAAAGCTGAGGCCTGATCCCTGCCACCTGGGGCTGAAGCTGAAGCCCAAGCAACTTAACTTCGCGGGGGCCCCTGTGGTGTGGGACCCCACGCAATTGCCCTGCTTGCTACCCACTAATGCTGGCCCTGGCTTTTAATCTACTGTATATGCAGAAAAATAGTTATTGTGGAACGTGGAGTTTTAGAGCATGGGGGGGTGAGAGGTCTCAGAAAGAAAAAGGTTGAGACCCTCTGGACTAGATGACCTCTTGAGGTCCCTTCCAGTCTTGTTTTAGTAATAATCATAGAAGTCAATCACAGAAGTAACAATATTTGAAATCATGTTTACAAGAAATCATGTATTTTAATATTTTTATTAATATAAGATGAGCTTCTGTGGTTTATATACCCAATTATACACCTAAGTCATTCCCTATATAAAGTTAAAAATCTCGTTCAAAAATAGCATTCATTCATTATTTTATTTATTTTATTCATTCATTCATTTAAGAGGGCCATTTCAATTTGTAGTTGATTAGGAGAGACATCGTCAACCAAATATATTTAGATCTGGTTTTGAGAGCATTTTTATGACTTCTTCCATCCGTGCCCTCCCTGCCCCTCAAAAAAAGATAATTTAGCTACTTAATATCCTGTGATCACCCTTTGCAGCAATTGTAAACTGAATGTTTCCTTCTTAGGTATGCAACATCTTTGCACTTTTCCACCCAGGAGAACAAGGTGGAAGGAAGAGTGTCACTGTCATAGTTACAGCACATAATGGTACAACTAGTCTAGGACGAGAATCAGTTTGCTAAGTTATTTGAATAAGAACTAAGGTTACCACAGCCACATGTATACAAGACAGGATTCATTCCCTCCCATCTCCACCCCACAACGCTAAGTGCTGGGTGCTCCACAAACACACCCATTTCCACATGAGCTTACAGTCAAGGATTCCAACCCTGCAATCAGATCCATGCTGGTAGACTCCTATAGTAGCACGGAGCCCCACTCAAGTCAGTGGGGTTTCACACAAGTACAGGGGCCTGCCTATGTAGATGTGATTATAGAATCAGGACCTAAGATGACAAGTGACAGAGAAGGGATGGGAGGAGAGGGCTATATTTTTATATATACACACCCCCTTCAAGCAGGCAGGGAAATAAAAGCATAGAAAAAGTTCAAAATAATTACATTTGATCACAATTCCTTCCACCCACCCCGAGCTACCACGGAAATGAGCTGACAGGGCATAAGGAGAGATGATTTGCTCCAAAGCTTCCTTCTAATCCATCACTGAACTCTTTGGACTTTTCAGGTTGCATCAATGGAAACAATAAAATCTTGTAATGCTTTTCAGAGAGCAATCAGCTCACCAAATGCATCAATTAACCAGCTGCAATATAAAATAATTAAACCAGGGAAAGCTGCTACAGTAATCTTACTTTAAAATCCTGAAAACCTTTACATTTTGGGGATTTGATGACACTGGCGAAAGCCAAACACATTGGTACAGGGACAGTCTTCTTAACACAGTGCAACTAAACATACCTCTTCCATTTCCTGAACAGCAGCAGCTTAACTTTATGAGGACTTCTTGTTGTAGCAGACCACAAGAAAATGAGCCTAAACCCAAATTCATTTCACTCCTAGGAAAATTGTATTTGAACCCAGGTCTCTGGTGGCTAGCCAGTCACCCTCTATTTTTATATATGAAAATACAGAAAAGAAATTGAGCTTTAACAGAATTTATCTTCCTAAACAGAATTAAATCTAAGTAAATCTAAGTTAAAACAATTGCATTCAAGAAATCCTTACCTGTGCAACTAGATTTTGATTTTAAAGAAACCCTTACCATTTAAATCTAGGCTACTTTCCACATTTGTTTACCTTTTCCACTTCACTCTGCTTGGACAGAGCATATACATTAACCAGTTTCACTTCCTGTTTATAGGTCAGTTTCATTTTCCTATTACCAAATAGGAGCACAGTATTATGTTAATGTTTTCACTATTACAGGAGAAATGTTTAAATCCTATTAACCCTGTATGTTGATTTTTAAAAAGAGGCAAAGGACAATATTTTTTACTTGTGCTCAATCTTGTTAAATCTTATTTAACAAAATCAAAATATGTGGGCCTAACCATCTTTTCAGCACCCCTTTAATAACATGTCAATTTTACAGAGTACTCCTTCACATTCATTTGAAACATGTAATGATCAGTTTTAAACATTACATATGTAGTAAAGCTGTCTAATTCTAGACGACAGTTACATATAAATACCTTCCAAATATTTACAATGTATTTAAAAAGAGGATGAGCTGAGTTATAACCCTACCCTAAAAAAATGTCAAATAATTCCATTATTATAACTAGAAATGTGTTTAAGAGCTCAACTTGCAAGGGTTAACACAGAATGATAAATAATGTATAATACATAAAGTATGTAATTGAAGCAGGGCTCCGTGGGAAGGAATCTTTGTAATTTATGGGGAGTTTCATTTTACTGACTGAAATGATGTTTATCACTAAGAATTCCTGTATGGTTCCAGATTGTTTGATTTCAGTGGGAGCTTTGTCTGAGTAATGGGTGTAGGATCCAGCCCACTGAGGCAAATATCACAAAACAGAGTCTGGGAGACCTTGAGCTACTAAGAAACAGGACGAGTTAGCAACAAGTATTTCATACTACATATTCAGAGGCCTTAAGCCAGAATTTGTTTGTTTCCTTGTAGGTCTATCTAATTATACAGAGCAGAATGCACCACAGAATGCAAACAGGAGTATGAAAGGAGTATGATGGTGTTCTGCAGGCTACTGCATTACAGGGGTTCTCAAACTTTTTTGATGGGATCCCTTTGAAAATATTTCAGGCTGTTATGACCACCCCCTCCCCTCCAATACCATGCCATCCTTACTTCTGCACTGCCTTCAGAGCTGGTGCCCAGTCAGCAGCCATTGCTCTCCACTCTGCCTTCAGAGCTGAGTGGCTGGAGAGTGGTGGCTGTTGGCCAGGCACCCTGCTCTGAAGGCAGTGCAGAAGTAAGGGTGGCAATATCACGACCCCCGTACAATAGGCTTGTGACCCCCTTTTGGGTTGGAACCCCCGAGTTTGAGAAATGTTGCTTTAGTTTCAAGCACCTTCAGCCATGACATAAATACAAGCCTAGTGTCAGAAAAAATTCTTTATTAAAAATCATTACTACAGGAAGAAATGGGGTCGAGTATGCAATATGTTCTTATTCTACTTTTTGGGTGGTGTACCTTTAAATGTAGGGACAACTACCATTGTGGGCCTGTGATTTTTAGCACCCACAAATCCAGCTAACCTCCACAGGAGCTGCTTTGTTCATCTGAAAAGCAAGTCCTTTGTGTTTTGTGCACAGTGTTACTGAGAGGGTCTTTGCATGCTCTCTTTTGTTTAGCCTTTACTTCTGTTCTTCCTCAATTCAATGGAGGATAAGTCATTCACACAATTACATAGTTGATCTTTGAGTGTGGAAAACATGACTCTAGAAAGTTTCATGACCAACAGTGGGGTTGCAACTTCAAGAATAAGAACCATTGGCTTGGTTAAAATAATTCTTTTACTTACCACTTTGTCCATTCCTCATATTTCCATCTAAGATCATTAATACTGACAATTAGGTGATGTTAATTTTTACTAATCACGTTTCTGACTTTGCCATGGTAGATCCCTTGGTCTTCGTGAAAATTAATACATTTAAGTAACTGAAAGAAACAAGGGTCCACTAGAACACAAGCCATTTTATCTGATAAAAGTTAAAAAAATCAGACCTCGGCTGTTTTCATTTCATTTCACCGTCACACAAGTAACGCTTTTTTCTACTACTGCAAAGTGTGGTATGCTCATACAAAGCACACGGGATCTTTATAGAGGAAGGTAAATACACACAGCATTTATTGAGAATACCACAGTTAGCATATGCTTTTTAGACACACACACACACTGTACACACACACACACACACACAGAGTCCTGCAGTGATGTTTATAGTTACCAGTCTAGAGTCTGGATCAATCTAGTGGCCAGCCAAATTGGTCGCAGAGGGGAGTGGGGTTCTATCGGTCACGATCCGATGCTCCTGGAGTGTGGCAAGACGAACCCAAAGTCCTATGGCAGAGCACCGTGTTCTTATAGGTTTTCTTCTCTGTTGAAGCCTATGGATTTTGCTGTGTCACTTTGTGACCGGTTAACTTCTTAATTGGTGTAAACATTCCAATACACCTCCGAGAGGGTCATCCTGCCCTTTGTTCCGATTTAATCAATTGTCTTTAGGGGTGACAGCCTTTACCTCAGGGTCGTCAATCTGCCCTTCATTATGGATGCGTGTTGATGATTCTTTGATGTCCTTTAAGTTTCTTCACTCCTTCTTCCTTGACTCTGGCTATAACAATGGCCTTCACACCTTATCTTTTCCTAATGCATACATTCCTCATTCACACAAACAGATTGAGAATACAAACAGTAGTATTTTATATTGAGCTAAAGGCATTGCAAATTAAACCTTGCTAAGTTTTACAATCAATAACCAAGACAATTTACATTGAGACCCAGGCCTTCAATGTTCCTCTAATCTACTTAACATAGACACAATAGAGAATCCTGTCTGTCTCTTACTTCCTAATTTGTAATACATATAGGAAACCATAGTAGCTTTATAACTTATTCTAATACAAAAGGATGACCATAATTAGTCATAAGGATTGTTCTGGTCTGTCATTCCTTTCTGCTATTCAAAAAGGGTGGCTGACAAGATGAAATCAAATCATACATTAATTCTCATAGTACATTGTAAAATCCAGCTCCTACAAGGGAAGAGGACAAACAAAGTTGTATACCCCACACAACTAGTTAGCAGCTTAGGGTGACTTATTCTGACGCAGGGAAAGAAACACTTCAATGCAGCAGAGACAGGTTTGTACCTCCCACAAACCAATGTTTCCCCGGGGGGGAGGGAGGGGACACTTAAAAAACACAAAGAAACTGGGTGCTCAGCCCTATATTTCAGAGCTTACCTCTATCCAGCCCATCAGAATAATGCTCAGCAGCAATAAAGTACTTTACAAATAGCTGTGTGTGCAATGTTATATGTAAGTGATTGACTGACACTGGGAAACATGCCAGGTACCAGTAACCACATCCACACACCCACACTGGACTGGGGCTAGGGAACAAATGGCTCTGCAAGCCCAACCCCCAGAAAACCCATAAGGGGCACAGACAGCGGGAGTGAAGGAACAAGGCTGGCTCTGTCTAGCAAACGCCAAGCGCTGGTCCACGAGCAGCTACTGCTCTTGTACCCCTGTGCCTAGTAGGGAGATGTCTCTTTAAGATGTATAGAATAGGAGGGGGCAGAAATTAGTTGTGTCTGGGTCATTGTTGCTAGGCAGATGCACAACACCCAGAAGTTTCTGGAATTGGGTGTGGTAGTTTGGGGTATGCTCAATAGGTTCCCCGTAGCTGGACTCAGACTACGTTGAGGGCAAGCAGTCAGGTCAGCGGTTTCACAAAAGGCCTTGTGCCTGTGTTAGCGTGACCAGTTGTCCCGATTTTATTGGGACAGTCCCCATTTTTGTCCCGATTTTATTGGGACAGTCTTTTTCTTATATAGGCTCCTATTACTCCCCCAAACCCCCCTCCCCCCCCCCGGCATCCTCTGAACCAAATTTTCACATTTGCCGTCTGGTTACCCTAGCCTGTGTGAGCTGGGAGAAGCTGATGCACAGGAGCAGAAAGCAGGCTGTTTTCCCTTGACTCGGAAGCACTTTGCATCAGGATTTTTTTTTTTTAACCTATCTACTTAATCTGAGTGGTTGGTTAATTAGTTAGCTGACTAACTGAGTGATTTCCGCCAGAGTCTGCCCGGATTCCAGCTGGAGATTTCTAAAAGCAAGTGGACGGAAGATGTTGTTGCAGTGTTTTTGACTATAGATTTTGGTGATCAAAGACTGTGGCTGAGACTCAGATGAACTCAGCCTGAGCTTTTGGGAACTCGGTGTGACTTCTCATTGTGTTTCTGTGGAGATTTAATTTGTTTTCTTTATGTTTACGTATAACTGTGAAGATAATGTCTGTGGATTATAAAGCAGCTATGTTATGTTACAAAAAATTAGTTTGATGATGATGATGATGTTTGTTTACCATCATAAGATTTTATAAAGTTGGTACGTAAGAATTAAGTTCATTCCTTTTGTTCTTTTGGAGGTGGTTGTGGGGAAGTTGACCCTGTGCAATTCTTGCTGAAAATCCTCAGTGACTGAATTCTGGGTCTCCATGTGCTTTTCTATGGGAGTTGGGGTTTTTTAGGCACTGGAGAAGGGCAGTGAAGTAAATTCTAGCCCACCCGAAGGTGACACCCTTTGCCCTAGAGAGACTCACTCCCAGCAAATGCCACCTACATCATCATCCAGAAAGGCCAGATACCAGCACTGTGCCTCTCACAGCTCCTGCTCCTCCAGCCATGCCGGAGACTCCAGCCCTCTCAGCCAGCAAGGGCCACCATGCCAGCCATGGGGCCACACCCTTAGTGAGCAGCACCGGGCCCTCGCCCTCACTCACCCTTTGCGCATGGCAGACCTCAGCTGTGGCCCCTGGGAGGGGAGTACTTGGCCCCTGCTGTTAGCTGTCCCCTGCAGAGCAGGCACTCCCCAGGCACTCACTGCCTGCGGAGAGGGACCCCAAATGCGAGGCACCTGCACTCTAGTCCGGAGTGGGGCAGGGTGGTTTCTGATATGACAAGTGTCTTGGTGCCCAGCAAGTCTCCACAGCCAACTCTGTGCCCCAGAGAGCAGCAGGAGCTATGGGGAGCTCCCAGGGCAGGTGCAGCAATCCACGCCGTTCACCTGAGAGTGGATCCCACACTAAGTGCCAGGGCTTGGGGCCCCTGTGCCACCATTCATACTGTGAGTTCAGCACCAGAGCAGCCCCCGTGGGAGGCA